AACTTGGACGTCCAGCATCTTAATCATGAGCTAGAGGGGAGAAAATAGACACATTCAGAGACAACAGGTTTTTTACCCATAGTCTATATATAACCTTGTCAACTAGAAGCACCGTTATATATTATGTTAGGGTTTTAAAAGAAACACAGGGGGAAAAGAAAGAAAAAATATTTTAGCCTGAGTGGTTAATATCATTTTAGGAAATCAAAATATCTGGATTTATGAAAAACACTGAGGTCCTTTTTTTCCCCTTCTCTCCTCTGCAGGGAGATAATGTAACTCAGTGTAAGCAGTTGCAGCTCTGCCATCCATTCTGTACAGCCCTGTGAGATCTGCAGCTGACATTAGTGATGACCCAAAAGCCACCATACTTCATTGATGACTATGGATTGTCATAAAGGCATAAGCTGTGCTGGAGGTCAGAGCAATTCTTCAACAGCAAAAAAAGGGGGGCTCTTTAGAGAAGTGAAAGTCTACAATACAAAAATGGCCATGCTGCACATTGGAAACACACTGGGTACTGCGAGTAGCAAAAATAGGAATTTCCCTTTTTTTCAAGTAAGTGATCGTGAAAGTGATCTTGCACAAATAAATTATAAATTTATACATCATTTAGAATAAATCCACTGTGGCATGTTATTAAGATGGCCTCAAGCTAAGATAGCTTTAGGATTAGACACATTCAAGGAAGATGAACCTAAAGTACTAGATACATTGGCTGCACCAAGTTCAGAAGCTTTATACTTCTGTGTATTTGTTGTTAAGGGAAACAGGACATATAACAACAGATTTCCTTATGTTCTTAAAATGAGTGACACTAAACTACAAAGTTCTATCCATGCCTGTGTCAAAGCCAACTGCACTGAATTTGGCAGATTGCAGCAATATTTTCAAGCAATCAACAAACCCCCATCTGACCATCATAATATATTGGCTTTCCCTGATTTCCTCTATTTTCTTCCAAATAATTGTATGTAATATATGGAATTAAAGTATGAAAAGTATCATGTAGTCTCTTACATTCAGCTCCCAATTGATGAAAAATCCAAATGAAAGTAGACCTGGTAGCTGATTTCCCATTTCCGTTTGAACAAATCCAGTGAAATTCGGTATCTCTCAATAATTAGTCCCACTGTTGACTTGTTCTTTTTATTAGTTCTTACTTTAATTTTTAACCTGTATCTTTTTTTAACCTATAACTGTAGTCTTAGAATCAAAGTAACAGATAATGGCATGCTCCTCAGTAATAGTCCTCTAGGTTTTTGATTTCCCTTTTTTTGACTAAACATATCCTCAGTTCCTTTAGTCTCTCTTTATAGCACTTAGTTGCTACCCCCAATTGTAATTTCTTGCAACTTTTTCACATTTTACATTACTTTGAAATGCAATGCCCAGAAATGGGCACAGAACCTGAAAAGGGCATAAAAATAATGGAACCCATAGTTACATGTACCATGATACATAAATAGCACTTCCATTGATGCAGCTTGTCATAGATTCTTTTTTTAAACTGTATCAAATTAGATTGACTCAAGAGAGGCAGTTTTGTCTAGTGGTTAAGGCCTCAGGCTAGAAACTAAGAGACTGTGAGTTCTGGTCTCGCCATAGGCATGAAAATCAGTTGGGTGATTTCAGGCCTCTCTTTCTCTCTCTCTCTCTCTCTCTCTCTCTCTCTCTCTCTCTCTCTCTCTCTCTCTCTCTCTCTCTCTCTCTCTCTCTCTCTCTCTCCCTCTCTCTCTCTCCCCCCATGAATTCAGGCTCAGGCAACAAGCCAGTCCATCGATTCCTGTTGCAACAATGGATTAACACTCAATTGATTAAGAGAGAGAGTGAGAGAGGCTGCATTTGCAAGAAAATGCTAGGAAGAAAAAAATATTAGACTGATCCAAAATCAAGAGAGACAGAAAAGTGCTGGCGGCTTCTTTATAGATCCCTGTAAAAAAGAGACTTTTGTTTTATAAAAATAAACTTATAAAAGTGTTGCCAGTGCTTTTATTGCTACCTCTATACTAATATTATACTATAATTGCTCTTACAATATACCAATCATCTTTAGTTACTGATATTATGACAATGTTGGTATTACTTTATACTATTAATATTAATAGTATATTAATATTATATTATTAATATTATATATTACTCTACTGCCTATTAAAATCCCTTATATGCTATGCTCTATATTATTACTGGCATGCATCAATATTTATTTTTCTTAAGTCTGCCTGCCTTAAGTCCCCTGTCTTTGAGATTTATTTTCTTTTTCTATTACCAGCCAGTATGTAGAGCTCTTCCACCTTTTTTAACATTGTGCTTTGTCTTGCTGTGTTGCTATACTTTTCCCCTCTTTTGGGCTGCCCACTCCTTCTGAAGGAAAATGCTTTCTTTCCTTTGGCTTTTCTTTCTTTCTTTTTGCTGGCTGCTGTGGAGCTATGAAACATGTCTCCTTCCATAGCTGTGTCAAAGTTGCAGCTTTATTAGCAACTCTGCTGTGCTGATGCTGGGAAGGCTAAAATGGGAGGGAAATAAAGCAGTAGAAGTCCTGGAAATTTGGTTAAACAGCCTGCTCTTTCACACAACCTAAAATTGCATTTGGCTTTATTGTCGAATATACATGTCACTCTACAACAGCTTGTTTCACTTAAGCTTAGACAAATTAATTTCAACTTATTTCCAATTTTCCTGTTCCTTTTGCTTTACTGTATTTGTAGATCTCAATCCTACTTGGGTCTGGCTTCTACAAAGTTATGAGGGTTATAACTTCTCCTGCTGTTCACTTCTTGAAAATTGGTCTCTGCACTGGGTTAATTTAAAAAAGCTTGCAAGGGGTGATTGTAATATGCACATTTATGGGGGTAGGTAGGGATAAAGTTTTCTGCTAGTACTACTCCAAAGTTCAATCCTCCAAACAGGATTCTATATCTATATATGGACTTTCAAAGAAAGAAAAAGTAAGATCATTGAATATTTATCTTTCATAAATTGACCATAATAGTCACATTCAACATTTTAAAATATTTAGCAATGTACAGCATAATATTATGTAAACAAATCCAGGGAGTAAGTATTTCTACTGCCAGCTTGTTCTATGGTAATTGGGCCACAACAGAGAAATCTTGTTCTCTGGAAAGGCCCCATCACTTTATAAAGGGATGGACTCCTGTCAGTCAGACTCATTTAGGATCCTATTTTTGCTGTCATACAATGGTATACACTTTCTGGGTTGCAAAAGTCCAAGATGGCCACAAAATATCACCAAGATCACCAATGAACGGTATTTTATATCCCATGCACATAATTCTGCCTTTTTAATCCTCACTCTGTGATGTCAATCTAGCTGAGAGATAGCCATCTCTCTTATGCTACAAAATCTCTGTGAAGCGGGATATACACAGGCAAATGGTTCAATTTAACATGCTGCAGGGATTTAAAAAAAATACTAGAAAAAATTTATATGTAGAAATCACATATTAAAATATTTCCATGATAGGCAAAAGGATCAGTAAAACTCTTGAGAAGTACAAAGTTTGATTACAGCAATTCACTCTGTCTGGGGCTGCTCATGAAGACCACCTGGAAACTTCAACTGGTCCAGAATGCAGTGTAACCGGCAGTGATGAGCATGCCTTGGTATGCCTTGGCTCCCACCTTTGATTTCTGAGCTGCACTGTTGCCATGTTGCTCCCATGTGCTGGTTGTTACCTTTAAAGGCCTAACTGAATAAGTCCTGGTTATCAGAGGGATCATCCATTTCCTATCTATAGCATCTGCCCCACCAATTCTATCCTTCAGGGTTGGCTTGTTCAAGTCCTGACAATTAAACAATGTCATCTATTGAAATCCTGGAAAAGTTTCTTCTCTATAGCAGTGGGTACTCTCTGAAGTGAAGTTTCCCTCCACCCCAGCTCTAGATAACCACCTGTGTGCGGTTGCTTAGAATTGCTGAGAAGACCTGATTCTTCAACTAGATTTTGGCCAGTGATTGTGTGGCCCTTCGACTTGATCTCCATCTCACACTTGCCATCTTTGATTTATTAATTTGACTGTCATTTGATTGTTGTGAGTGGCCCAAAGTCACTGAGAGCCAGGTGGCACACAAGTTTAATAAATTATTTAAAGCAATACCCGTAGGTTTGGTTGGTTTCTCTCTTCTGCACATCTCAGCCCGCATCTCTTATTTATTTGTCAATTGTTTAAAGGATAATAAGTGTAAGAATAAACATGGGTATGAATGAAATGGGGACGAATAAATGGGGACAGTAGGACAGGGACGGTAGGCACGCTGGTGTGCTTATGCCTTACAGACCTGTTAGGAATGGGGTGAGGTCAATAGTAGACAGTTTAAGGTTAAAGTTATGGGGATTTGAAGATGCAACAACGGAGTCAGATAGAACATTCCAGGCGTTGACCATTCTCTTGCTGAAGTCGTATATTCTGCAATTAAGTTTGGAGCGGTTTACATTGAGTTTGTATCTGGTGTGTGGTCTTGTATTATTGCGGCCAAAACTGAATTAGCCATTGACCAGTAGGAGGTTGTTCTCTTCCCAACTCCTTTCAATGAAAGAAGACGGATTGTGTTCCGCTTTTTCCCGATTGCCTTGGTCTTGGGCTAGAGGAGAAGCGCAATTAATCGCCTCGCTGACCGGCTTCTTGCTTTAACGCCGCCGTTCCTTTATTCACGGACTAGTAACTTTCGGTGCCGTGTCACGTGACTGGGCGCCGAACGGCCGAGTACGCTTTCTTCGGATAGGCTGCCAGCTGCTAAGGATTGCCTTGAGAACGCCCAGCGTCAGAGGAACGGCAGGGAGAAGAGGAAAAAAGAGAAGCAGCGCCGAGCGCGTGCGGGAGAAGCGGGGGCGTGGCCTTACTTCTCCAGGGGGTAGGTGGCAGTACGGCTCTTCCTCCAAGGGAATTGGGAAGGGAGGGCGGGGGGAAAGAGATAAATGGTTTCCTTTGTGCCGTTGTGGGCCCGAAGAGGACTGTTCTTCCCCTTAGGAAGTGTTTGTGTGTGGGTTGCCTTTCCTCAACTTCTCCTGTCTCCGAAGGGAAGAGCTTTCCGCGCGTTCTCCCCTTGTCTTGACTTTTTGCAAATTTTGGCCTCCAGAGTAATGGGGTCAGTAAACATCAAGGGAAAAGGGCAACGGGCCGCTGTCCTATGGGCAGCTCAATGGTCAATTCTGCTCCATTTGTGGTTTCTTGGTCACCTACTCAGTTCATTCTGTCTTGCCTACTCACTGCTTTCAGGCTTAATGGGGGTGAGTCATCCGTACTCGCTGAGAGAGAGGGAGGGAGGGAAGGAGAGAGAGATGGGAGGCGATATAAAGTGTCTTAAATGAGTAAATGTTTTTAATGTGTCTCGTCCCCATATAGTCCTCCGTCCTGTTTAGAAGTCTATAACAAGCGAAGTTATTACAAAGTTCTTGGTACTGTCTTCATATGCGTAGCCCCTTCAAGGCTGCTGCTGGGAGTAGCCTATCGTACATGTAGCCTCCACAAAGATAAGTCTTGAGAGGGCACCCACGGAGTTGCTGCATGTGTCAATCCTGCTTTTGTTGGAGTTGATAGGAAGGGCACAATGCCTCCCACCCGTTTTTCGGATGCTCTCTAGGAATACATGTAGTCTATTCCCTCATGGAGGACAGAGTTTTAAGGAAAGCGTGACTTACATGTTATTTCCAGGGAATCCTTCAAACTCAAAAGCCATGTCTTCTTGCACTGTTAGCATAGAATAGAACAACAGAGTTGGAAGGGACCTTAGAGATCTTCTAGTCCAACTGCCTGCCTAGGCAGGAAACCCTATACCATATCAGACAAATGGTATGCTTTATCCCGGGCTGTTCCTTTCTTGGTCGATGGGAATGTAGGTGAATATTGAGATATTATTGTATATTGAGAGCTATATGAATACATACAAACATTAATATATCTTTTATTTATATTTTGTCTGTGGAGGCAAAGCACATTACTTTTTAAATAAAAAGTAATAAAATGCAAGTAATTTATAGCAATATATTGTTTATTTTTAATTTCAAACTTATCTACAATATAAGATTAATCTTTTATTACATTTTCATTTTCCTTTATACAATCACTTAAATACTGTGCAGTTAAAAAAGAAGAAGCAATAAACAACTCATAACACTTCTATCCTACATACACCCTTCCTTCTACCCCTCCAACTTTCATTTCTCCCTTCCAACAATCCCCTCTTCTACTTCCCCTCCCCCTCAGCCATTCCTTTCTCCCCTTCCCACCATCTCACCCTCCTTACATTCCCTTCTCACTCCCTCTTAATTCCCCCCTCTTCTTTCCCTCTACACCTCGCTTCAGTGTATTTCTAGTATTCATTGGTCTATTTGTTTTGTACTAAAACAAAAGAAAAATAAAAGGAAAAGAAAGAAGAAAAGAAAAAAAAAGAAAAAAAAGCAACAGTATCCAAGTGCATTCATTGTTCTGAAAATTGAGTCTATATTTCCACCCTCCCCCCCCCACCCGCTGAACCCCCCTCCCTGTCCCCCTTCCGACTTCCCAGATCCCATTCCCGGCATCGTTCTTTATCAAGCAAAGTCTGGAGTATATTGAAACCAAATAGATTAGAAGTTACAAAATAATAATAATAATAAAAAAATAAAGAACAAAAAAAGAAAAGAATAATAAAAAGAAAAAAAGGGGGGGAAACTCCCCCCCCCCCAAGAAAGAGAAGTCAATAAACTTATCTACAATATAAATCATTATGTGGATATAAAGTACTCTCAGTTCTCACTTATGTAAAAATTGCTAGTCCAACTGACCTGGAGTGACAGTTGCCTTTAGATTTATAGGGAAGTCAGAGTTTTGGAAAAAAAACAGTTAACAATTCCTGAAACAATAATCATATTGCCTTGGGACTATAAAAGCTGTGGTCTATTATTCCTGAGAAACGCTATGTTGCAGCACATATTTTTAGTCAATTTATTTTTGCTTTTAAATATTGTCTTGTCCTAGTTTGAATGACAGAAGCATAGAGTTGTTTCGCTTTCTAGAATTTTTGAATTGTCTTTACCTTTTTGTGAACTTGGTCTTATGAGTTTATTTTCAATTCCTATCACACAGAAATTAAGCAAATGAGTTTTCCTCTATTTATTTCAGTGGCAGGAAAATACCTCCCCGCTCTTTATAAAAATATGTTATGATATAACTAACGAAAAGAGTAAAATATTCACCTTTTTTTTTCCAAGAAAAGAATTTTTTTCCCAAGATAAGTAAAAAACTTGGGTTTGGGATTTTGATAGCAGTCTTGGAAACAGAACCTCATCTGTTACTTTAGTGTGGGATTAATGAAAGTAGAAGGAAAATGTATCTCCTCACCTTTTGTTAACAGATCCCTTTTCTTCCTGTATCTTAAGAAGAGAGAGAATCCAAGCATACAAAGGTATTAAAGATGCTTTTTTGCTGTGAGCTTATTTTAAGTCTTGACAATGTGCTGCCTAGTCAACATGGGTTTAGAGCACTGAAACTAACCATGTATTGTATCAAAATCACTCCAGGTTTTTATCTGACATGCTTTAGTTACAGCTAAAGTATAAGCAAGCAGTTGTGTACATAAAGACAGCTAAAAATATAATAAATTGATAAAACTTCCCAAAACATGAGCAATATTGCATGATGCTGAGTTTCAATTATCTTAAGGGGTTTTCAGTCTTTGTCTCAAAAAGAAAAGACTGCTTATTATTCATAAGAAACAAAGTTAGACAAAGATACACTGAAGCGGACAGGTACTTTCTTACCAAATGTATCTAACAAGTAAAAATCCATCCAAACATCATTGCTAGAATCAAGCCAAATGCTTGTAGTTTACAAGGGAAGAGGTGTTATTTACTAAAGACATATTCTTTAGGGCATATTCACTCTGAATAGCTGAAAGTGACAAGGCAAATTATCACTCTTATATATTTATTATAACATTCTTTCCCTTGTATTTCTGACAACTCAAGGTGATTTTTATTATGGCCAAATCTGCCCTTTTCAATTATATTCAGCAAGGACTTCTTATATCATCAACTGAATCACTTTAAGATGTAACAAAGAGGCTAAGCTTGCTGATGTATGTATTATAGTGGTTTCAAGAAAACTATTTAAGAAGTTTGAAGAAATAGCATGTGCTGCTTTTTCTAAGAATTGTCTTTGATTTCTTATGTTCAGGCATAATGCCTCCCAAAAAGCATATAAAAAACAGCCTCCCAGATCCTCTTCAAGAAGGAATAATATTGACGGATACCCAAAAACGGAAATGGAGGTTGGGTCCTATGATTGCTTATGGAGGATTTGGCTTGGTCTATCTAGGTAAGACATGTAGTATGAAATTTTGTATGGGAGAGTTACTACTTGGAATCATCCTTCAATGTAACTAGGAAGTGGATATGCTCTTTGTCCTCCCCCCATTTTGGGGGGATGCGGGGGGAATCCTAGAAGTCTATTATGACATCTTAGACACTTCAGATGTGAATGTTTATATTTTCTTTGCAAAAGAGATTTAATACTTTATAAAAAGGACCCCACTTCATAAAAGGAGGAAAACTATACTTTCCTGAATAATTAGGATTTAAAGGGCCTGCTTCCAAAAACTTTGCAGGTGAATCATGAAATTAGACATTTCCCATTTTAAGGGTCTACTTTTGTTTGCAACCTCAAATAGCTGAAAGTTCTTTTTTTTAAAGTTGCAGTACTTTATCATATCTTGATAAAGGAATTTTGAATCCTTGATTTGAATATGAAATTGAGTCATGTCATGTTTCTGATTCTGTATATGTTAAATTATGCTATTTTTTAAATTGCTATTCCAAACCAAATATTGTCCTATGGTATTTCTAATTAAAGGAGTCAATTTGGCCATCTCAGCAAGTTCCAAGATCTTCATTATCCATTTCTTCCATTGTGGGTAGTTTTCAAACACTTCTTTATATAATTGTACTTCGTGATGCAAAAGAATCCAGTGTTGGATTTATTCTGTTGTTTCTACTTTTCCTCAAAAACCCTGCTTTCCAGACTTGAGAGTTGTGGAGAATTGATGGAGAATGAATCCAGGATTGGTTTCAACATGGTTACTTCTCTCAGTTGCACTTGAGGAAGAAACCAGGCATGTATCACATAAGAATAAATAACTTTATACCTTAAAAGCCAGATGTATAGTTTACTAGGATTAGTACCCAGGCAGAAGCTAGCAAATGTTTTACTTTCCTTGCTTAAAATAATTTTATATTATATAAATACTTTTGCCTTCCCTTTAGTTTTGCAGCACTCAAAATTGTTAAAAATGATGTTTCCTCGGTCTGCAGTTTGAGTACTAAATAGTTTCATGCCCATTTAACTTCATTGCTGGTTTGAGTACAAGTGGAAGATTAGGAAATGAGAAATATGTGACTAAGATTTCCTTGACCAGAGGATTTTCAAATTCATTTAGTTTATCTAAATCTTTGCTTATCAGATGGGAAGTTTTTCTAACACATCTGGAGGGCTTCTGGCTACTGAAGGGTGATACAAAAGATGAAGGAAAACATAAAAATAAATCCTGTCTTCCTAGCTTTTGCAAAAGTAGTAAAGAACTTTGAAAAAAAAATCACCAGAATTGGTACTTTCTGATCTTGGAATGTCTAGCGATTGTAGATATTGTGAAGTTAGCATATAAGTAAAACCCATAGGAAATTATTACTCTTCAAATTTTTATAACCACAGCATGCTCGCACACAAACCCCCACTTTCTTGAGGCCATCCATATTTGCAAAATGAGTATTTGTTGCCAGAGCTCCAGCAGTGGCAATGAGATCAGCTGTGGACAGGAGTTGGGAATTCTGTTTAATTGCCAATAGGCACTGCTTTCCTCTTCCCTCTGTGTAAACTTTGCCTGCAAAACTGACTCCACAAGATGTACTGCAGGCACTTTTTCCATCATTCCAGGAGATGATTGCTGCACAAATAAACTGTTGTACATGGAAATTTGTAGATTCCAGCTGGCAAGCAAAACCAGCAAGTTACTTTGTCGGACTTCTGGGTGCCATGGTGCCAGGTTATCATTGTGTGGGGAGAAAAAAAAAGCAATATTATCCAGAAGTGTGCTCTGATGTTACTTTTGCATGTGAAACTAACAAATGCTATGGGGAACAGCCATGGCTTAATGGCAGAACTAATGCTGTGCAGGCAGAGGAGCTTACTTTTTTTTTCTTATCACAGAGAAAGACCATTTTCAGTGGTTAATACTTGGTTAGCTGTAAAAGATGACTTGCTCTGTATAAAATGGATGCATTGGCTATCTTTTTATTAAAGGTGTTTGCACAAATTAAGAAAATGTTGTATTTATATTGGTATAGCCAAACTAATATTGGGTTTATTTATAAAGTAAGTACGTGTATAAAATGAAAGAGAAGTATAAACAAAAGATTAAAACTTTTGATTTGAACAGCTAGACATTATTATTACATCCCCTCGTCATATCCTGCAAGTACACCTATCATCTTTTCCAATGAATGTGGTCAAAATGAACGAATAGCATGGTAGGGCAACGATAGCCAATTTCTTCCCCTTTCAATTATTCTGTATTTTGATTTGGATTTCAACTGCTTATATTAATATATTGTTTATTCAAAGTTTACTAAATTACTTGGCCAGAACTTAGAAATTGTGTGAGGTTGTGTACAGGTTAGGAGAAGTTTGTATAGAAAGACAATTGTAACTTGATTAGAAGTAATAGTTGAGTTCCTAAGAGGTGAAACTGAAGAAGATCCGCTTGGAATGGGCCTGCCATTAATTATGTCAATTACAATAATGCAATAGCAGAGTTGGAAGGGACCTTGGAGGTCTTCTAGTCCAATCCCCTGCCTAGGCCAGAAACCCTATACTGTTTCAGATAAATGGCTATCCAACATCTTCTTAAAGACTTCCAGTGTTGGGGCATTCACAACTTGTGGAGGCAAGCTGTTCCACTGATTGTTCTAACTGTCAGGAAATTTCTCCTCAGTTCTAAGTTGCTTCTCTCAATTAGTTTCCACCCATTGCTTCTTGTTCTACACTCAGGTGC